GCTGAGCTGTGCACTCTGTTGTTCATTCAGGGCTGTTAGGCTGCTATGTTTGATTCTTCTGCAACACAGCTCATTAAACAACCCTTTTTTTTTTTTTCTCAAATGCTCTGTGTTGAGGGGTTTGGGCTTTATTTTTGGATGTCCGATCAGGTGTCCTGCCCAGCTCAAAGGCAGACTAGCCACTGTTTGGCTGCCGAGGCTCCGCCCTGCTCTTGTGTGATTCACGCTGTTCCTGCCGGCTCTGCTGTGGTCTCTGCCACGCCCTGCGGCGGAGTCTCTTCGTTGTAGCGTGTTGCCTCAGCAATGGCAGGCTGCGTCAGCAGTGGGCGTGTATCTCAGTAGGGACGGGTTGCCTCGGCAACGGCTGGCTGCGTCAGCAGTGGGCGTGTATCTCAGTTGGGGCGGGTTGCCTCGGCAACGGCTGGCTGCCTCAGCAGTGGGCGTGTATATCAGTTGGGGCAGGTTGCCTCCGTAGTGGTGGACGCCCCTCCCCCACAGAGCGTCTCGGACCGTCTGCCCGGGATAGTTTGAAATCGCGGTTTTGTTCATCCCACTGGGTATCCCAAGCGATCTGTCCCTGCAATCCCCTGGGCTGGGCTACTGTGCAAGTCTCGTTCAGTCTCAAGTCCAGCCCTCTCAAGTCTCAGGTTGCCGGTTCAACAAGGCACCCGGACAAGCGCGCCCTGTGGGGATTGCTGGGTAGGGCCGGCCGCCGCCGCCCCGGCTGCCGGCTTCGCCAGGCAGACCTACTGCCTGGCGTCCCGTGTCTTTTTATACTTGGGAGTTTCCCCGTTCTGTGGGCAACAAAGATCAGTCTGGAAATGCAGCAGTGACTCACCGTTTGCGAATTCAACGCGGGCTCCAATCCTGGGTTGTTCTCACAGCGCCATCTTGAGTCCCCTCCACCCCTTGCATTTCTTTTTGTAAAGTTAGATGAATTGGGATGTCAGATACTTTGCCAGTACTGATACTGACGAAGACACAGAACCCACCTCTATCTACCAAAATATTCAGTGGCCTAAACAAAAGTTCCATAATGTTCATTTCCAAGTTCAAATGTATTAATACATCTGTCTATACAATAGCAGAATTTTAGAGTGTCACAGAGTTTAACACTGGGAGTTGCCTGTATGGTGATTCACATCGTCTACCACAGGTAACTAGCAATATCGGTCACTGGTGCTACCGAAGACAAAGAAGGAAATAAAAACATATGCATTGAACTCATGGAGGACCTTACATTCCAGTTACATTCCAAATGACTCTAATACATCGTAGACAGAATTAAGTGCTTATAGAGAGATACAAATAAAGAGCCAAGGGAGTTCAAGGTTACTTTTCACCACTTACAAGTATTTATTACACCATACTAGGCAATATGATCAAACAAGTTAACATCATAGACATGTTTCTTTGCCACTATGGAATTTAGTGATTCAAGTAGGGAGAATGATTGAAAACAAGTAATAAATAAAGGAACAACTAATTTGGTAGGAGGGAAATGAACAGTACATGAATGACTAATTGCGAAATACATTGTTTTTAAGGAGATACTTGAGACTTCAATCACCACCTGCGGAGGAAGTCTGTCCTGCAGACCCTGACTCGAGGACAGATGAATGAATGCACTCTCACACCTGCTTCAGTGGGCTAGGGATGGCCATTGGCTGCTTTCAGAGGGCGAAAAGCAACCCATCGACCAAGACCCTCTGTCTATTCACACATTTATTCTGTCAGATTTTACAGCAGAGGTCTAAGTTAACACACTTGGGAATCATTTACGTGGTTAAAAGAGTGGTTATACAAATGAGAAAAGCTTTAGGTTCGGGCCCAGAGTAAATACTATTAACGGGTAATTCCCCTTTGATCTCCCACTGAGAGGGGCATCAAGCACAAAGTTAACATGAGTAAACAGAATAGAGACAAAGCGATGTGGGGTAAACAGACTTAACTGGGAAAGCCTCATTTCTATCTTCTCCCTAAGTTAACGGACCAGCAGGCTGCCTTCAGCCTGCCGCAATAAAACCTTTTGGCCTTCCAAGAGATTTGAGACTATAATCTATAACTTTCCCTAAATATTTTCTGTAATATTTTGCCAGCCACCCTGAGTGAATTCTAAAAGATACTAGTAGGGAAGAGGGAGTTATATAAGCTTAGGATTAACCATGAAAAGGAAGGTGCCATGGGGAGAAGGGAAGAGAGATTTCTAGGCAGGGAACAGAGAACATTCAATTACTAAATGACAAGTTTGAGAACTGAAGAATGCCAGTGTGGCTGGGACATAGTAGGCAAAGCAAAGAGTGGGGGTGTGAGATGCAATTGTAGTGGTAAGAAGACTGCTTCGTGCCTGAGAATCTGAACAATGTTTTAGGCACAATGGGAAGATAAAGGTTTAACAAACATAGGAGCATATGTAATCTGATGAACATTTTCCATAGATTATCCCTGGCTGCAGAAAAAAAAGTAATACTGAGCTTAAAGAGGCTTCAGAATAAAACCAGGTGCAGTGACTCATACCTATAATCCCAGCACTTTGGGAGGCAGAGGTGGGCAGATCACCTGAAGCCAGGAGTTCAAGACCAGTTTGGCCAACGTGACAAAACCCCATATCTACTAAAAATAAAAAAAATTAGCCGGGCATAGTGTCAAGCACCTGAAATCCCAGCTACTTGGGAGCAGAGGCAGGAGAATTTCTTGAACCCTGGAGGTAGAGGCTGCATTGAGCTGAGATTCAGCCATTGAACTCCAGCCTGGGCAATAAGAGGAAAACTGTCTCAAAAAAAAAAAAAAAAAAAAAACCAAAGGCTTCAGAATATGTGGCATGACTTAGTTACTGAGAACTGCTTTTAGCATTCATTCAGCAATTATTTATAAAACATAGAAATGTGCTACTTTCTAGAAATACAATGGTGGGATAAAAGACAAAATTTCTTGCCTTCTGAAGCTCACTTTTCCAAGCAGAGATTTTCTCTCTTTCTGCATACATGCATGCGTACACACACACACTCACACACACACATTTGTAAAGATGAATGAATGAAAATAAGCCTCTGAATAACTTCCATAGCTCTTTATTATTTTTTGTCCTTTAAATGCTTATTTCTTACCATATTTTATTGGCATTATTTAGAATATGTGCACATATATATATATATATACACATGCATTCACACTATATGTACACTAAATTATGAAATTATGCATATATTCTATATGCTATACATGTATATTATGTAAATATGTTTATTGTATGTACTACATATAGTATATATAATTCTATACAGATATTATATACATATAATATCTGTATATTAAATTATGTGTTGTTGTTTTCATATTTTTTGTAACATTTGAGTAAAGATACTAATTTTACTCTAATCATTTGCAGTGTGATCTCAATTTCGTCATGCCTGATCCTGCACCTCATGCCCACACAGTACTCTGTTAAATTCACAGACTTGTGTTTTTATGTTGCTGTGAAATGATAGCAACATAAATAAAAATATAAAATATATTAAAATTTTTTAATGTCATTTTATATTTTTATTTTGCTGGATAATTACTGTTATAAATATCTGCCTTTTTAATTATGGGAAAATATGTCCACCTAAGCATAATTTATTTTAAAATGTAATGTTTAATCAAACATTACAGTCAAAGAAAAAATATTTTAAATGATAACTCATTATTAATTTAGTATACTTGTTATGGGATAATGTATTTATAAAGCAATTAAGAAGTCATGTACCCTGACTATAGATAGGGTGAATAGGGCCACATAGAGGTCAGCTGAACTTAGTGCTGTTCATGAATTTGGTAAGTCATGCTTGCATAGAATTCTATGATAGAATTTGTATTATTTTATAAGAGAGATTTATGATAGTATGCTATGGTTCTGCTCATTTTATAAAAGCAAAACAACTAGTGGAATGCCTGCTTCACTTTAAAAAAGAACACCTTGTTCTAGTTTTTCTTTCCTCTGTATAGACCCTGTCTTTTCTTTTCTTGTCTCTCAAAAGCATAATATTTTTAAATGAGTGGAAATTTAGTTAGAATGGCAAGTCCACCTTTCAAAAGGGTTCAGGCAGAGGAATTTGAATGTGCAAAGTCTGGAGACTTTTTCAGCACTGAACAGCCTGAAGACTGTTTTTCAAACAATGGACAGTGTGCTTAGTTGGGGAGTCTTAGCTGATCAGAGTGAAAAATCTACAAGAGAGCAAAATACATGTGGGGAAGAACTCAAATTTATGTCACAGCTTCCACTACTTTGAGCTACAAAAGCAAATAGGAAGTCACTTTAATTCAAGACATTTATCAATGACTTATCATGTGCGAGATTGGACCTTTGGTATCAAAAAGATGAACAAAAGCACAAGTCCCTCCCCATCACCAATTTGCAGAGGAAGGTCTGGTTACTCAAGAGAAGAAATGTGACAAATGCTGCAACAGAGAAGGACTCTTAAGTGTAAGGGATTCAGCTCACTAGAAGAGCTGACTGAAGTTTTCTTCTGATAGAGACTGCAGTAACTCATTTTCCATCCACTTAAAGAAGCTGCGTAAGAAATTATAAAATACTTTAGCTAAGTCTTGGAGATTTTATCAGTGAGTTGTGGGTGACTATGAAATGCTCTCAGGAATGTAATCCAGGGTTGCAATAATCTTGTTAATTAAAAAGCTAGAGCAGGAGATTATCCCAGCTGCCTTCCTTGATTTTTTTTTTCTTGTTTATAAACATGGTGGAATAAACATCTAACTCTTAATATATAATATTTGTCTACTAGGCCTATTTTCAGTACTGGCTGAAATATTTTTAATTAAGAAGATATAATACCATCAATATTTTTGAGAACATTATCTTAGCTGTAACATTATTCTGAACACTTTAGTCGTGGTGGCAGCTAAATCTTCAGTTTGGATAACACTTTTTAGTAAGAGCTCTAGGATCCTAGCTACACTGAAAGGACATGAGGCAGGCTGGGGGTCAGTGCCCTCAAGCATCTTAGTTTCTAGGTCCCTGGACTTCTGTTGCTAGGCATTCACTGAGAGAATAATGGCAGGGCCATTGTAAGGGTGGTTTTCTCCCCGCCCTCTTTAAACTTGCCTTTCTCTGCTTCTGAAAATAAGTGAATATTTGGAGACAGCCTACTGAGAAGCCAAGAGATTTCTGCCTTTTTTGATGCCAGCATTTGGTTATAGCCACAGGCAAAGAATATTAAGGTAAGAGCCACCGACAATTTTTTTAATTAGATAATTTTTTAAATTAATATTTGCTTATTTTTGTAAGATAGAACTTCGCTAATGTTGCTTCAAATGAGATTGCAGGTCTATTTCAAGTATTAATAGTTTAGTCCTTTGTGTAACATACACTATCTTAAAAAAAAAAAGCATTAATTTTCCTTTAAAATGGGCACCTAGAATGCAATAAAGGTATGCAGAGAAAATCTGGCAGAATTTAGCAAGACTCGTGAAAATAGCCTGAAGAAAAACATTTATGTTGAAAACTGTTTGCATGTTATTGTTTATGGCACTTTGATTGACAGACTAAATCCACCACTAAATCAACAAGCTGCGTACTCTGAAACTGTCAATCGTTTGGACATGGTATGTTACTGGTTTTACTTTTACAGATATTCTGATTTCTCTGGGTATAGAAACCCTGGGGGAGGACAATCGGTGCACTTACAAATATAATTGCCTGTCTTTCTTTTGAAACCAAATTCTGGTTTAGCTGTTTTCATGTTTTCTAATGTAGCAAAAATAGACTTCTTTGTGTCAACACTATCTCTAAGAATCTAAATTAAAACATGAAATCAAGTTAAGATGGGGAAAAGGTTGAGTTTAAGCCCTAAAGCAAAAGGATCTGTCTTAAATGGCAGTTCTGTCCCCTCTCAGCTGCCCTATCTTGGGTGTTTACTTGACTGCTTGTTAAAATGGGGATTCTGAGTCACTATGTCACAAAATTGCTAGAAAAATTTAAAAAGATACTAGAGCTTATATGCCACTTAGTGGAGTGCTTAGCACAAAATCAGTGCACAAAGAGTTATGATTATCTACTATAATTAATTAAAGAAGGAAATCAACATTAATCTGCTCTTCTATTGGAATAAGAAAATTCAGAAAATTTGTAAACTGTCCAAGAAGAATTTATAGAAAAGGTGAGTCGCAAAGAAGGCTCTGTGGTGCTTAGAATATGAATAACTTTGCCTTGAAGATCAAAGAAATTCAAGGATAGGTGAGTGCAGTCCCTTATCATAAGAGGAGAGAAAACATAAGAGACATTTAAGAATTGATAAAGTATTAAACGAAAGTTGCCAGGAATAATTTAATTAAAAACAGAATTGATAAAGTGTAGCTTTGGTTTCTTGATATAACATCTCTCCTTTTTACCAATATAACACTTTACATTGTATGAAACAGTCCTAGGCAGTGATCCATGTAATCATGGGAAGAAGAATACAGAGGAGAGAACTGAGGCTTGGCAAGATCAAGGCATGTGTCTAAGACCACACCAGCAGTACTTGACAGCAGGGATGTTAAAAAATGGTCTCAGGATCAATCCTAATATTTCTTTCCACACCGCACTGCTTGTAACTCTAAAACAAATGCTAAAGGGTTGGGAGGGAAGAATTCCATAAAAATATGAGAAAAACTATATGCTTTCATAATGTAGATATATGTAATATCTACTGGGATTGGGGAACAGAAGCACTGTTAAATTAATGGTAAGGCATTTGTTGGCTCCTTTAATGCAAATCCACAGAATTCCTTTGCCTGTATTCACTGGAACTTTTTCAGCAGCTAATGTCTTTACTGTTTCCTTAGTTTAACCAGTGATAACACAGTTTGTATACAATAAGCTAAGCAACAAATTAACTGCCAGTGGAGGCAACTTCTTAATTTTATTGGGGCATATGCTAGCATCTAGCTAAGTTTAAATTACAATCTGGCACATACATACTTCAAAACTCAAACTACATTTATAAATTTGAAGCAAATACATTTGTAACACGTTTATTAAATTTAGGACCTGCTTATTCTGAGGCGTTAAAGGACTCCAGCAAAATGTGACTGTTTTCTAGTCATGACATATAAAATCTCCAAAAATTGAGAAGTAATATTGTATGTACTTGTTTTGTTAAGAATGATTTCTTCTAACTGTAAAAGCAGGTGTTCTCATTTTGTATGAATTCTAATGTGTGTATAAATTATATAAATGAATTATATGTCTTTTCTTTTTCTTGTAAATGAAGGACTGATAGAATAATATTATTGATACTAATTAAAGAATATTAAAATATTCATTAAAGCTATTTTGTGTGTGCTAAAGCTGCCCATGGTGAATGGAAGATGTCTTTTCTAGTTAGTACTGTTACTACAACTCTGGTATTGGTTCCTCTAGTATTGATTCATGTTTTACCCAGTTAAGTACTGTACACCTGCCTCAATTCATTAATGTATTGTTGCAAGTTGTGTATTGAATCCACTTTGATTGCACTACCTCTAAACTTCTAGTTTAGCCTTTGCGAACTAAACAGTAATGATACAACTAATAAAGGCATCTAGCATAACAACTTATGCATTAACTATTATTGAAAATATTTCTGATGAATGTAAAGTGCTTTCTGGGCTATTTTGTATTTTCACTTTGATTATAACCCTTGTTTCCAATATCTAGTTGTACCTTAATTTTATTACTAATGAAAGTTTGTCAGCAGTGGGGATCTCTGTAAATTTAAGCTAATACCCCTTTCAGAAAGATTACCTTAGTGTCTTGGTGACACTAAGTAGACGTATCACAATCACATTCACTAGAATGACGATACATCTTTAATTTAATTACTGTGATATGGAGTGGTGGATATTGTTGCTTCTTAATTTTATTACCTTAAGTAGGTTTTGTCATGTAAAAAAGAGCATTTGGATTGCTATTCAACTACTTCCTATGAGTTTTTATTGCTGCTGTCTTATTATTAATCCATTTTCCTGTTATAGAAACATTTTCATCAGTATTATTTTATATAACAGTAAATATATAAATACACATAATCTTAAGAAGGATTCTTAACATTTTTTCTTTAATAAAATTAGAAATGATCTTCAAAGCTTTAAATTTATCTTCATTTTTAAAAGAATATTTATAAAGACAGAATAAAGTATAGAAAGTCTACTGACCTCGTTTTAGAAAATTTAAATTTTAGTCTAGCACTTTTAACAGGCTGCAATTTTTCCTCCACTTCATGTCCTAGGCATATTACACCTTTGATAAATTTAAATTCAATTTAAGTTGACTCTCTGTGCTGTAGATAATTGCTGCTGTCCAGAGGAATATATATGTATTGTATTTGGTAAGCAAAAGATTGCATATTTGATTTAAGAAAGACAAATACAATGATAGGAAGAGGGAAACATTCTTTATTTCATTTTCATTAAATTCTTTTCATTCACTTAAAAAAATTAATGTGTCATATACATACAATAAAATGCACAACTGTTAAGTGTTCTGTTTCATGAGTTTTGACAATTGCATCTACTCAGAATCTACAACCAAAAGCAAGATGTAAAATATTTTCATCATCCCAGAAATACTTTTCATGTCCCTTTCCAATCAATATTTCCATTTCCAGAGGAAACTTCTTTCTGATTTCTATAATTGTAAATTGGTATTTCCTGCCCTTGAACTTTATATAAATATACTGTAACATAAGTATTGTTCATCTCAAATCTCTCAGTAATCATATTGACTTTGACATTTATACCTGTTATCGCATGTATCAGTGTTCATTGATTTTCATTGCAGAATATTATTTCATTGTATGAGTGGAATGTTCCATTCTTTGTCTATGTCTTCTTCTCTTGATATTCTCATATATTTGGGCTGTTACGAATATTCTTGAACAAGTCTTTCTATGTACATATTTTTTATTCCCTGTGTAAGTACCTCTCGCAACTTCTTGAGTCATGGATGACATGAATTTTCTACTTTATAATTGCTGCACAATTCTCTAAAGTGGTGGTTCCATTTTATTCTACCTGAGATGTATGAGTTCTGATTGCTTCACTCTACTCCCATCCAACACTTGGTGCTATGAGGCTTTTTAAATTTTAGGTCTTTTTAATGGGTGTGAAATGGTATCTGAGTATAGTATTAATTGCTTTGATTTGCACTGATTACTAAAGATGTCTCTTAGCCACTTGTGTATCTTCCTTTGTGATGTGTCTGTTCAGGGCTCTTGACAATTTATTAAGTGGATTGCTTGTCTTTTCATTCTTTGTTTATATGAATTCATTTTATATTCTGGATGGAGTAATTTGTTCAAATATCTAAATTTCTACTATTTTCCTCCAAGATGTGGCTTACCAATTTGTTTTCAGTTGTGTCTTTGATGAGCTAAACCTTTTAAATTTTGAGGCGATGCAATGTTTCAACTATCTTTAAATGGTTTATGTTTTCTGTAACTATCAAATAAATCTTTATACCAAGACCATGAAGACATTTCCTTATACTTGCATCTAGAAGGTGTGTGGTTTTGTGTTTATATTTAAGTCTATGAAGCATCTCAAATTAATTTTTGGATTTGGAGTGCGTTCGAGGTAAACGTTCATTTTTTTAATTCACATATTTATTTGTTCTAGTATCATTATTTAATAAGATATTTTACTATTGAATGGACTTGGTACCTTTGTCCAAATTGGTATAGATTGATTTTTGTCCTCTCTATTTTGTTCCAGTGCTCTATTTTTTCTATTTTTATACCAATATTACACTATTTTGCTTATTGTAGATTAAGTCTGAACATCAGGTTGTATTAACTATCCATTTTTTTGGAAAATTGTTTGAGTTTTTAGATCTAATGTATTTTCTTATTAATTTTAGCATTGCTTATAAATTTCATCAACAAAAATCTGCTAAGATTAATTAGCATTGCATTGAAGGTATAAATAAACTTGAGAAGGATGGACTTTTTAAAAATATCAAGCTTTCCATTCCTTGAACTTGGCATATTCACTAATTAGGGTGTTTCAAAAACTTCTTGGCAATATCTTGTTTTCATTGCACAAATCTTGCAAAATTTTGTTTATTCCAAGATTTTGACGGATTTTTGATGCTGTTAAAAATGGAACTTTAATAAATTCCTATTCCCATTGCTTATGGCTAGCATATGAACCATGATTAATTTATGTATATTAATCTTTTATCATGTGAACTTGCCTAAATT